GCTGGGGCTTTTCTCCCTAGAGCGTTGGAGGCTGAGGGGTGACCTTATAGCAGTCTAGAAAATGATGAGGGGCCCAGATAGGGTGAATAGCCAAGGTCTTTTTTCTCATGTGAGGTTGTTCAAAACTAAAGGGCATAGGTTTAAAGTAAGTGAAGAAAGATTTAAAGAGGACCAGAGGCGTAACTTTTTCATGCAAAGCGTGGGGCATATATAGAACGAGCTGCCAGAGGATGTAGCAGAGGCAGGTAAAATTTAACATTTAAAAGGCACCTGGATAGGTATGTGGATAGTAAGATTTTGGCAGGATATGGCCAAATGCTGAAAAATGGGACTAGGTCAGACTTGAATGTCTGGTCAGTAAGGACAAGTTGGACTGAAGGGTCTGTTTCCATGCTGCATGACTCTATGATTCTATGACTCTTCGCTGGCCACAGGCAAAATGCCAGATGACTGGAGGATAGCTAATGCAGCTCCTTTGTTCTGAAAGGGCAGCAGGGATCGACAAGTAATTATAGAACTGTTAGTTTGATGTCAGTTGTAGGGAAGTCATTGGAAAAAATTCTCAGGAACAGAATTGATTAACGCTTGGAAAGATGGGATTGATCAGGGATAGTCAGCACAGATTTGTTGGAGGGAGATCCTATCTGACTAACGTATTTGAGTTTTTTGAAAAGGTGACAAAATATATTGATGAAGGTCGTGCAATTGATGTTGTTTACATGGATTTCAGTAAGGCCTTAGATAACATCCCACATGTAAGTCTGGTCTGGTCCAAAAAGTGCAAGCCAATGGGATCCAAGGTGAGTTGGCAAACTGGACCCTAAATTGGCTTACAAATAGGGTGATAGTGGAAGGCTGTTCTGTGATTGGAAGCCTGTGACCAGTGGTCTAACACCGAGATCGGTGCTGGACGCTTGCTAGTTATCATGTACATTAATGACTTGGATGTGAACATAGCAGGTATAATTTGAAGATGGCAAGTTTGAAGATGACATGAAAATTGGTGGTGTTGTTGATAATGAGGAGAATGGTCTCAGGTTGCAATCTGCTATTAACCAGCTAGTAAACTGGACAAAGCATTGACTGATGAAATTTAATCCTTATAAGTGTGAGATGAGGTATTTTGAGAGGCCTAAAAAGGGAAGGATTTACACAATGAATGATAGGTCCCTAGAGTACTGAGGAACAAAGGGCAAAGGGACCTTAGTGTATAAGCCCATAGATCCCTGAAGGTGGCAGCACAGGAATACAGGATGGTGAAGAATATATACAGAATCCTTGCCTTTATTTGCTGGGGAATAGAATTTAGGAGCAAGGAACTCTTGTAACAACTTTATAAAACATTAGTTAGGTCATCGGTGGAATACTGTGTGCAGTCCTAGTTGCCTCACACTATCAGAAGGATGTGATTGCACAGGAGAAGTTGCAGGATGTTGACTGGGATGGCAAAAGTTTCAGTTATGAGGAGAGACTGGATAGGCTGGGACTTGTTTTCCTTAGAGCAGAGGAGGCTGACGGGGGTATATGATTGAGGTATTCAAAATGATGATAGGCATAGATAGAGTAGAATTGTAAAAAAAACAAAAATTTCCCCATGATAGGCATACCTAAGACCAGAGGATATATTTTGAAGGTGAGGAGTAATTGGTTCAGAGGAGATCTGAGGAAAGAATTTTTCCCCCAAGAGGGTGGTAGAGTAATGGAACATGCTGCTTGGGAGGATGGTGAGACAGCTGCTCTGATAATATTTAAGAAACATCTGGATGAGCACTTAAAATGTCAGGGCATAGTAGGATATAGACCAAGTGCAGGTAAACGAGATGAGTGCAGTTTGGTGTTTGCTGATTCGCATAGAGATGGTGGGCTGATGGGCTTGTTTCTATACTGTATGACTCAGTGAGACTATGACACATTTTCAAGGGACTTGGGGGGCAGGAGAATTGCCCCTCTTAAGTCCAAGCTACATGGGCAATTCCTATGGAGTCAATGCGCTGAAACTCCTGAGGTGTCCCAACAAGCATCTTGGGTTATCCAACTGGTCTCCTCCAGAAATGGGAAGGCCTGATGTCAAACACAGCAAGTCAGTCTGGGACTTTGTTTGCAAGTAGGCAGACATCCAAAATTAGTAATAGAATGGCATCGTGATCAGCATGGACATGGTGGGCCAAAGGACATGTTTTCTGTACGATGTTGTTAGATGCAAGCTGAAACCTGATATTAGAGAACAAATGAAAACAAAACCAAAACCAGATTGCCTGCCTCCTAAAATGTTCTGTTTGTTGTGAAATGACTTCACAACGACTAGTATCCCATCACCAAGTCACCCTTTACTCACATGTGCATATCCATGACACTGACTCAGCTGGCTCAGAGCTGGCTCCTAGAGTGAGTAGAATCCCTGACACTCCTGTTTGTATCTGTCAGCCAGGACTCCCTGATTGACTGGTTTAACAACCCCAATCGGAAAACTAATATTCTATGAAATCCATCTGGCTGTTCTAAGCACCACAGTTTGTGAATCATTATTATTAAAGTTCTCAAAAGCATGCTTTTTGCAGATGCTATTAAAAAGCCTTTGAGAAGCATCTGAAGGTCTGGGCTTGCTATATTTTACATTATTTATTAACTTACTTCTGAGGAAATAAATAAACAATATATAAATAAACAATAAATCATCACACAGTGTTGGGTTCAGACCATGACTCTGGGCTCAAGATCCCCATTCATCACTGACTGAGCTGGCTAAGAATTGCCTCCACAAAGCCTTTCCAACTTGTCTCGGCAGTGTGTTACTCTATCTTGCAATCATCATTTCCATGTTTGACATCTGCAATATATTAGAAATTCAACACGTATAACAATAATAAAGAGGTTTCTGCTTCTGAAGTAAGATTGAAGTTCTGTCACCCAACACATGTTCTTGTCACTGAACAGAAAAGCATCAGGTACAGTTTGGAAAATCCCAGTGGCCAAAGTGTAGATGCACAATTGTTTATGCTGTCTTTATAGTTGGTAGAGGAGTTCATAATATTCTTCCAAATCTCCCTAGACGGGGTAGGAGCCAGAAGATTAGGGACTCTATCTTAAGGAAGGTTCTGAGGCCAGTCAATTCAACACCATTGATGGGTAAGGTTTTGGAAACAATAATCAAAAATAACATAACCAGCACATTGAGAATTTTGAGATAAATAATGTGGTCCAGTGTGGATTTGTAACATTCTAATCACAATTGAGAAATGCAATTCATTTTTGATGAAGCAACCCAATGAAGTTTGATGAAGGGAATGCATTGATTTTGATACTGGTTTTGAACAATAAAGGTTGTTTAAGAAAAGTAAGGCTTGGAATATGAGGGTTAATGCTGGGCTAAATTTTATAAAGTTAACTTAAGAACAGAAAACAAGATGTGGTAGATGGGTATTTTTCAGCTTGGAGGATAGTCGACAGTGGTATCCCCGAGGGTCAGTATTAGCACCACTGTTTTCTGCTATATATGAATAACTTGACCATTGGAATACAGATGAAATTTGCAAAATGTTCCAATGATATGAAACCTGGACCCATGGCAAACGTGAAGAATGTTACAAATTCATCGTTACAAGACATAGGTAGGTCAGCAGAATATTAATGCAAGAGACCAAGGATCTAATATACAGACATGTGAGGTGATGTATTTTGGCAGAAGGTACAGGGAGAGGCAACTAAACTTAATGACACAGTTCTAAAAGAGTGATCTTGGACTTCGGGGTATTGATCTTTGAAAGTGGCAGGCTGGTCTCCCTGCTATGGGAAGGATGTTGTGAAACTTGAAAGGGTTCAGAAAAGATTTACAAGGATTTTGCTGGGGTTGGAGGGCTTAAGCTAAAGGGAAAGGTTTATAGGTTGGGGCTATTTTCCCTGGAGAGTCGGAGATGAGGGCTGACCTTATCAAAGTTTATAAAGTCATGAGAGACATGGATAGGGTAAATAGACAAGGTCTTTTCCCTGGAGTAGGGGAGTCCAACACTTGATCTCATGGTTTAAGGTGAGAGGGGAAAGATTTAAAAGGGATCTCAAAGGCAACTTTTTCATGCAGAGGGTGGTGTGCGTATGGAAGGAGCTGCCAGAGGAAGTGGTGAAGGTTGGTACAATTACAACATTTAAAAGGCATCTAGATGGTTATATAATTGGAAGGGCTTAGAGGGATATGGGCCAAATGCTGGCATACAGGACTAAATTTATTTAGGATATCTGGTCGGCATGGACGAGTTGGAGTGAAGGTCTGTTTCTGTGCTGTACATCTCTATGAATTTATTGACTCTATGACATATTGAGACAGTGGTTGGCAACTGTATGGGATACTGAGCTTTATAAATCAAGGAATTGAGTCCAGAAACAGGGAAGCTATGCTGAACCTGTATATATACATATATATATAAAACAACTGCAGTTTTGCGTTCACTTCCAGTCACACTTTAGAAGGGATGAGAAGGTTCCTTAAAGAATTGAAAGAAGATTTAAGGCGAATGGTTCCAGGAATAATTTATTACAAGGTTAGGTTGGAAAAATTGGGTAAGTTCTTCAAGGAACAAAAGACATTGAGAAAGATTTGATAGATGCCTACAAGATTATGACAAGTTTGGATTATGACAAGTTCTCATTAGCTGATGGGTTTTGAGAAGGGAACCAAGAGTGAGTCAGGCAGAAGGAAGCAACCTTTGGCTATCTACTCTATAAACACCTCTCATCAAATTGAAAGTCTTCTTTGTGGGGATTTGCATGGCTGTGGGAAAACTAGGAGACTAGAATTTGTTGGTTGTTCTTTTAAGGAGCAGGCTTCCTGCAGTTACACAAGACCACAGCGATAATAATACAGCTGATGAGAGCCGAAACGTCCTGAAACATTCGCTCTGCGTTTCTATCCACAAATGCTACCAGATCTGCTGTGCATTTCCAACATTTTCTATTTTGATTTCAGATTCCAAAATTGAAATAATTTCAGAATTCAGACGTCATCTTACCCACAATCTTCAAGCCAGCTTTTTATTTTGTCAACAGAACCTCCTGTGAAAACAAACAAGAAACACAAAACAATCAAAGAGAGATAGTGAGAACACAGTGCAACAAAAACGCACTCACTCCCATTTCCAATGATTCTGTCAGGCCCATCTACACAAATCTAAACATCATTGCCTGATAGAGAGAAGTGGCGAAGCAACTGACACGAAGATGGGAAAAATCATTGGGTCCTGAAAGCAAAGAAAAGGAATTGGTCATGGAGAGAAATGTTATTCCCACAGTGAAGATGAGTGAAAAAATTATCCTAGAAATGTTTTAAATGAGGAAATGAGGGTTAGGTGCATGCAGAATCTCTGACAGAATAATTCACCTGACTGTCATGGGCTAGACCAGACCCCCTCAAAATATATTAAGAAGGTAAACTAAACCCTGACTTTTACTTATTTTAAAGGTAGATGTGAAGTGCCGTATTCCAGATGCAGTGTGACTGATCAAGCTACTTGACATTAAGAAAACAAAATTTATTCAAACACTGTAGTTAAAATACAATAAAAGAAAGATGGAATTGGAATAGCTTAACTCTATTCGAAAACTTAACAGAACGATAGATACAGTAATTATCACGAATTAACTGTTCCAATGTAGGAACATCCCATAAACACACTCCTGGCAAAAGGCAAATTCTGAAAACAGATTGTCTCACATGCAACTCTCTTAGCAGACAGAGAGCATTCCCCACTCCCACCCCCTCCAAGCATTTGGCTGTAACTGAAAGAGGGAAAAAAGTAGCTTTCACATCTTCCAGACACCAACAGCAACTACTAAAAGCTAAACTAAACATCCTGGTTCTGTGAGAATTTGACCAGATCCATTCTGGCTGCTCCTATTGTTCCAACTTTAAAAAAATTCCCAAGGCTTCACAGGCTGTTTACTCTAGTAGTTCTGATTGACTGCTCTACATTTCAGTCTTTAAACTTCTCTTCAAAAGAAAAGGACAAATTGACCTCTTTAAGCATTAGTATCACCACACCCCCTTAAAAAAAGAACCACAATGTACAAAGATGGCTTCAGTTTTAAAAACCATTAGCCTTACTGTATTAGTACACAATACATATACATTACATTGACTCTAAGCATGCAAACATTCACCACTACAGTCTATTTCAGTCAGATTTTTCCGCCACCAAACATCTCTGTCTTTCTTCATCAAAGTTACAACAACGTATCGACAATTACATTCTCTCATCCATATATGTGTGTAATTTTTCATGACTTATTATCCACACTTCAGATTTTAATTCATTCCTATTTGTGAAACTCTTGTTTCCTATCCCTTTCGAGTGTGTGTGTCTGTGTGTGTGTGTGTGTGTCTGTGTGTGTGTGTGTGTGTGTGTGTGTGTTAGATCACAAACGCCACCCTCAGTTTGAAAGTGTGAATAAATAACTCTTTTTATTTAAACTTGAGAGTTTGTTGTGAGCCATTTTTTCAAAATTAATTTCATCAGAAAAGAGCTTCCAAAAACACACCACAACCTTTTCTAGGCCAACTTACTTACAGTCAGAAAGTGAACAAAATAAAGCATGAAAAACACTTGACAATGTTTATTAAGATCTGTAAACTTGAAAAGGTAGTAGAAGCTGATTCAATAAATAATTTTAAAAGCGAGTTGGATAAGTACATGTGAAAGCGAGAGGAATTTACAGGGATGCCAACAAAAAGCTGGAAAACTGAACCATCTATGACTACTCTTTCAAAGGGATGTACGGGCACAATGAACCAAATAGCTGCTGCTATGTTCAGTTTCTGTGAATCAAAGAGACTATTCAGCTGGAAGAGAGTGAATTTGGATGATGCCAGCAGAGACCTTGTGCAAGTGGCTGAAAACAGAGGACAGCCAGGAGAACAACAAATGAACAATGGTAGGCTTTCAAGGTTGAAATATTTTAGCTACAAGCCAAGCATTTAAGCAAGGAATGCTTACTGCAAAGAAGGAGACCATTCAATTTAACATTGTGCTGGCCCAATAAAGAAATAATTCACCTAGTGTCACAATATGCCCTCTCCCAATAGTCCTGCAAAATTTTTATTATAATAATAGTTAAATGCTGTCTCAAATGCCTCAACTAAACATTCCTTCAGTGCACTCTTACCACTCTCCAGATCCCAACCACACACTGTGTGCAAACATTTTACCTCATGTCTCCATCTAAATTTGTCAATTACCGTAAAACCATGCACAATTGTTCTTGATCCATTCAACAATGCGAATGATTTCTCCTTGCCTGCTCTGTATAGATCCTTCAGGATTTCAAATACCTATATCTGATCTTTACTTGACATTTTCTTCTCCAAAGAAAACAATCCAACATTTCTAATCTTTATGCAAATGAAGTTCCTCATCCCAAGAATCATTCTTGTGTTTATTTTCCCTGCACTCTCTCTAATGCTTTCATTTATTTTTAAAAGTGTGGCATTGAGAACTGAACACAATGCTCCAGGCTGTAAAAGGGTTTCGAACAAACTTAATACCACACTCTTGTGTTCTATGTGCTATTGATAAAGCCTAAGATGTCATATGGTTTAATAAAAACTGTCTCAACCTGTCCTGTCACTGCCAATGACTTCTGCTCCTACATTCCTTATAGAATTGTATGTTTTATTTAAACTGTATTGTCTCTCTTTGTGATCTTTTCATCAAAATGAATCACTTCTGAGCTGTTGATTTATGATATTTGTTATTTTTATTACTGCTTGGAACCTGGGTTCTAAAGTGGGTAGAACTGTATAAAGTACTGCTTTAAATTTGTGGACATGGTGCTAACCAAGTGGGCTACTTTTCAGAGAAAGTGTCAAATTTCTTGAATGTTGTTAAAGCTGCACTCATCTAGGTAAGTGGGGGGTTTTCCAGCACACTCATAATTCATGCTTTGTGGAGGATTGACAGGTTTTGGGGAGTCCTAGCTTCTGACCTGCCGTTATAGCCATTGTATTTATAGGATGAGTCAAGTTCAGATTCTGGTCGATGGTAACACCCAGGATGTTGATAGCAGGGGATTCAGTGCAGGTCATGCATTTGAATGCCAAAGGACAACATTTAGATTCTCTGTTGTTAGAAATGGTCATTGGCTGGCACTTGTGTGACGCAGATGTAATATAGAACATAGAACATAGAACAGTATAACACAGTACAGGCCCTTCAGCCCATGATGTTGTGCTGAAATTTTGCCCTAATCCTGAGGTCTATCTAACCTCCGCCCCTACCTTATACTATCATCCATATGCTTGTCTAATAGCCGCTTAAATGCCCCTAATGAGGCCGACTCCACTACCCTCTCCGGCAATGCATTCCACGCTCCTACCACTCTCTGAGTAAAGAACCTACCTCTAACGTCTCCCCTATATCTACCTCCACTCACTTTAAAACTATGCCCTCTCGTGATAGCTACCTCCACCCTAGGAAAAAGTCTCTGGCTGTCCACTCCATCTATACCTCTGATCATTTTGTACACCTCTATCAAGTCACTTCTCATCCTTTGTCGTTCTAAAGAGAAAAGCCCTAGCTCTCTCAACCTTTCCTCATAAGACCTTCCCTCCATTCCAGGCAACATCCTGGTAAATCCCCTCTGCACCTTTTCCAATGCTTCCACATCTTTCCTGTAATGAGGCAACCAGAACTGGACACAATACTCTAGATGTGGCCGAACCAGGTTTTTGTATAGCAGGAGCATAACTTCACGGCTCTTGAACTCAATCCCTCTATTAATGAAAGCTAACACACCATGCGCCTTCTTAACAATTCTATCCACCTGGGTGGCAGCTTTCAGGGAACTGTGGACATGAACCCCAAGATCCCTCTACTCCTCCACACTGCCAAGAATCTTCCCGTTAACCCGGAATTCTGCTTTCAAGTTTGTCCTTCCAAAATGAATCACCTCACACTTTTCGGGGTTAAACTCCATCTGCCACTTCTCAGCCCAGCTCTGCATCCTATCAATGTCCCTTTGTAACCTAGAACAGCCCTCTGCACTATCCACAACTTGACCCACCTTCGTATCGTCCGCGAACTTACTAATCCACCCTTCCACTCCTTCATCCAAATCATTTACAAAAATCACAAAGAGAAGAGGACCCAGAACAGATCCTTGTGTTACACCACTCATAACTGAACACCCGTGTTGAATATTTTTTGTCCACTACCACCCTTTGTCTTCTAAGGGTCAACCAATTCTGAATCCAATCTGCCACATTTCCCCTATCCCATGCCTCCTTACCTTCTGCATGATCCTACCATGGGGAACCTTATCAAACACCTTACTTAAATCCATGTATACCACATCCACCGCTCTATCTTCATCCACGTGTTTGGTCACCTCTTCAAAGGATTCAATAAGATTTGTTACTTGCCACTTTTCATCCCAGACCTGGATATTGTCTAAATCATTCAGAGATAGTAAGAACTTCAGATGCTGGAGGTAACACAGTGCGGAGCTGGAGGTACACAGCAGGCCAGGCAGCATCAGAGGAGCAGGAAAGCTGATGTTTTGGGTCTGGACCCTTCTTCAGAAATGGGGAGGGTTGCAGTGGGAGAGAGATCCACTGAGGTTTTTCTGGAGGGAGGAGGATAACTACTTCAAGGTTGGCATCCCTAGAAGAGGCTTCACAATGGGATTATAACTCACTTAGAGTAGGAACTGCTGATGCTGGAATCTGAGATAACACAAATACGGAAATATGCCCAAATGCAGCATGACTTAGACAATAGTGTGGAGCTGGAGGCACACAGCAGACCAGGCAGCATCAAAGGAGCAGGAATGTTGACGTTTTGCGTCGGGGGTCCCAACCCGAAATATCAGCTTTCCTGCTCCTCTGATGCTGCCTGGCCTGCTGTGTACATCCAGCTCCACATTATTGTCTAAGTCATGCTGCATTTGGGCGTATTTCCATATTTGAAAAGTTATAATTGATTATGAACATTATGCAGCATTAGTGAACATCCCTACTTCTGACTTTGTATTGGCGGGAAGGTAATCAGTGAAGTAGCTGAAGTTGACTGACCTCTAAAACAGCAACCATCTTCCTATGTGCCAGGTATTACTCCAACCATTAAAAATGGCATTATTAGAAATCTAGGAGCATGTGGCATGGATAGTAAACTGGTGAGAACACAGAAAAGAGCAGGGTTTAAAAGTAGGTTGTTTTTAATTCATTCATGGGATTTGGGAATTTATTGTCCATTCCTAACCACCCATCGACCATTTCAAAGTCAACCATAGGTCACTTGGAGACACTGCTGACACTAGGCCAGCAGATTTAATTCCCTAAATGGCACTTGTGAATGAGATGTATTTTTAAAGCAACTGATACTTAGTCACCATTAGGATACCTTGTGATTCCAGATTTTTATTGAAATCAAAGTTTACTATATGAAAGCATTAGACAGTGTGCAGGATAAAGGCACACAAGAATGATTTCCAGGATGAGGAACTTCATTTGCATAAAGATTAGAAACTACTGTGGTAGAGGTTGAACCTGTATTCCCAGAACTTTAGGCTGGGGTTGTGGGATTACTTAGTCCAGGGACCACAACAACACCATCTTCCTTACATTACCAAAACAAGTGAAGTGATGTTCCACGAGGAGTAGCATTGAGACCACTGCATTTCACAATTTACAAAATTTATTTGGACTCAGAAATTGGAAATACAGTACAAAAATGTGCTGATAGCACCAACTTGGGGGAGAAATTAACATACAACGTATTGGAAACCATTAAACAACATTCAAAAGAGGTATATAATTTTGGAATGAACATTATTATGGATTGGTGTGAAGTGATGCATTTTGGTAGGCAAAATATGGAGGTTGCGTACTCTGAAAAATGGGTCTTTAAATGAAAAAGACTCAGATAGGGACCTGGGACAACGAAATAAAGAAACAAAGAACCAGGGATGCTGGAAATCTGAAACAATACAGAAATTACTGGAGAAACTCAGCAGGTCTTGCAGCATCTGTAGAGAGACAGCAGAGTAAATGTTTTGGATCCAATGACCCTTTTTCAGAATTGATTGTGGCTAAGCAAATGTGGTATATATGTTGAAGACACAGGATGGATGTGGGGATGGGACTAGTAAAACAGTGAATGATAGATGGTGTATCAGCCCAAAGAGAGAGGATGGCAGTTGAATACAGAAACGGATGGATAATGATGAGCTGGGAAGAAAGGGGTGTTTAAGAGACCTTTAGATAAGCGCATACAAGGAATGGAGTGATATTGACCAAGAGCAGACAGAAGGGATTAGTTCTGTTTGGCATCATGTTTGGCATGAAGGTTGCAGGTTCCTCAAGAGGCAAATGAGAATACCTACATTCTATTTGCAAAAATAACTTTGAGCTGAAGGTTGGCATGCAGGTGTAGCAGGTGGTAAGGAAAGCTAATGACTTGCTGGCCTTCATAGCGAGAGGATTTGAGTATCTGAGAAAAGATGTCTTGCTGCAGTTAAAGAGGGCCTTGGTGAGGCCACGCCTTGAGTATTGTGTGCAGTTTTGGTCTCCTAGGCTGAAGAAGGACATTCTTGCTATTGAGGGAGTCCAACAAAGATTGACCAGGCTGATTCCCGGGACAGCGGGACTAACATATGAAGAAAGACTGTATCGACTAGACTTGTACTCACTGCAATTTAGAAGAATGAAGGGGGATCTGATAGAAATATATAAAATCCTGATGGAACTGGACAGGCTAGACGCGGGAAGAATCCTCCTGATATTGGGGAAGTCCAGATCTAGAGGTCACAGTCTAAGGATAAAGGGTGAGCCAATCAGGACTGAAATGAGGAAAAATTTCTTCACTCAGAGTTGTGAACCTGTGGAATTCTTTCCCACAGGAAGCTGTTGAGGCCAGTTCATTAGATATATTCAAGAGGGAGCTGGACATAGCCCTTGTGGCTAAAGGGATCAAGGGGTATTGAGGGAAAGAGGGAATGGGATACAGAAATTGCATGATCAACAATGATTGTATTGAATGGTGCTGCAGGCTCGAAAGGCCGAATGGCCTCCTCCTGCAACTATTTTCTATGTTTCTGGTTGCCCACACTTCAACACACTACTGTGTTGCCTGGCCAACATTTTTGACTTGGGCCTGCTGAAATGCTTCAGCAAAAAATAAAGTTGTGGTTGATTGTTAAGATCATAGTGAAACAAATGGAAATTATTTTGGTAGTTTAGAATTTGTGTTAAACCTGTATAGAGCATTAATTAGAGCTTTTTTAAAGGATTGTATACAGTTCTGTTTTCCAATTGGAGACAGCATGCAAAGAATTTACCTGAGAAATTCAATGAGCAATGATCTCCATCAAGAAAGATTGAACAAGTCAAGGTTTTAATCTCTAGAAAAGAGAAGAGTTGGGATTGGGAGGTGAATGTCCCTAGGAGGGACAATACTTTCAGCTGGCTTAATGTGGGTAAACTGGGAATACTGGTTATGATCAGCATATAGGAAAAATGTGGAACAAATTAGCACCTTAAAATAAATGTCAAATGAGAGTAATTCCAGAGAAGTATGCCCCAGGCAGATTCTTACCTGAACTAGAAGTTGTGCCCATGACATTCTCATCCACAGTGTGCCATTGTTCCCTGCTCTTAGCCCAGGCTCTGCGCTTTCTGGAGGTGCTGCTCTCCCAGGAAGCTTCAGATGAAACTTCCATCCTGTCCGTCACTGCAAAATGCCATGAGAAAAAAGTTTTGGAAAAGTGATCAATAAAAATCAGTTTAAGATAACAAGATGTAGAGCTGGACGAACACGGCAGGCCAAGCAGCATCAGAGGAGCAGGAAGGCTGACATTTCGGGCCTAGACCCTTCTTCAGAAAAATACTATCTCTCCAATAAAAATCAGTTCCTATTTTCTATGGCACCATCTTCTAACTTCAGAATGCCCACGGAGCCATAGAGTCAGAGAGATCTAACAACACATCACATCCACACCTGTCAAAGACAACGACCTAATTAATCTAACCCCATTTTCCAGCATTTGGCCAATCATCTTACTATGCCTTGACATCACAAGTGTACCTCTTAAATATTATAAGGGTTTCTGCTTCTACAAGATTTACAGGCAGTGGGCTTATGATTCCCACTACACTTGAATGAAAACGTATTTCCTCACATCTCCTCTAAACTTTCTGCCCCTTACCTTAGAGTCGTAAGAGTTATAGTCATAGAGTTATACAGCACAGAAACACCCACTTCGGTCCAAATCGTCCATGCTGAACAGATATCCTATATAAATCTAGTCCCATTTGCCAGAATTGGCCCATATCCCTCTAAATCCTTTCTATTCATATACCAATCCAGATGCATTTTAAATATTGCAATTGTACCAGCTTCCACCACTTCCTCTGGCAGCTCAATCCATACACACACCGCCATTTGTGTGAAAAAGTTGCCTGTTAGGTCCCTTTTATATATTTCCCCTCTCACCTTAAACCTATGCCCTGTAGTTTTGGACTCGCCCATGCTGGGGAAAGGACCTTGCCTATTTACCCTATCCATGTTCCTCATGATTTTATAAACCTCTACAATGTCACCTCTCATCCTCCAACACTCCAGGGAAGATAGCCCCAGCCTATTCAACCTTTTTCTGTAGCTCAAACCTTCCAACCCTAGCAACATCCCGTAAATTTTTTCTGAAACCTTTCAAGTTTCACAATGTCCTTCCTGTAGGAGGGAGACCAAAATTGCACACGGTATTCCAAAAGTGGCCTAACCAATATCCTGTACTGCTGCAACACAACCTCCCGACTCCTATACTCAATGCACTGACCAATAAAGGCAAGCATACCAAACGCCTTCTTCATTATCCTATCAACCTACAACTCCACTTTCAAAAACTATGCACCTGCACTCCAATGTCTCTTTGTTCAGCAACAGTCCCCAGGATGTTAACATTAAGTGTATAAGTTGAGTGTCACTGGCTGCCCAGAATTTATTGGCTGCCCCAGAGAGTGATGGTGTGCTGCCTTCCTCATTGAATTCATAGAATACCTCCAGTGTGGAAACGGGCCATTCAGCCCAATGGTTCCACACCAACCCTTGGAAGAGCAACCCACTCAATCCCCATAATCCTGCATTTTCCATAGCTAACCCACCTATACCCCTGAACACTATGGGCAACTTAGCATGGCCAATCCACCTAATTTGCATGTCTTTGAACTGTGGAAGGAAATTGGAGTGCCTGGTAGAAACCGATGCAGACACATACAAACTCCACACAGATAACTGCCGAGGGTGGAATCAAACCCAAGTCCCTGGTGCTATGAGGCAGCAGTGCTAACCACTGAGCCACCATGTCACTGCAACCCATCTGCTGTAGATAGACCCATAATGCCCTTATTTCCAATATTTCAGATGTTTACTTGTAAACTGTGATTTCAAGAGATGACACCTACATGTAGCACAAAAAGCGCACAATCACAGAGAAAAAACAGTGTAATCATTAAGCGATGGAAAGCAGCAGTCAGTCTCATTGATGCTGTTGGAAAGGAAAAGGTTTTTAGATTTTTAAAAAAGCTTTTTGATAAAATATACCAAGAAAATGAATAAATGGAGACTGGAGCATTCTGAAGAAGAGGCATGACAGACTCAAAATGTTAACTCAGTTTCTTTCTCCAGGGATGCTGCCAGAACTACTGAGTTTCACAATCTCTGCATTTGTTTCAGATTTCCAGTGTCTACAGTATATTGCTTCTACTTCAATCCACACCTCACTGCCTCTGAAAAAAAAACGCAGCCTGAAGCTACAACTAACACCTTATCATTACTGCAGATTATTTCAGATTATCCAGTTACTCTCATGGACAAGTTTAAAATTATCATCCAGGAATCATAAATTACCCAAAAAGGCGGTCTAAGTTATGGGAGATTTTAAAGCATTTCATTAAGAAGTAACAGATTCAATCTAATAGGTAAGCTAAATCAGGAAAAAAAGTGAAATGTAATGGCACATAATGGTCTGAAGTTGGATAGGTGGGGGATGCTGCCTTCTTGGAATGGTTTATTGGTCCCGGTCAGGGAGATGTTAATCTGTAGGGCTGGAGGTGCAAATACCTCAGGGTGATTCACTAGTCCCAATTTGGGTAAATGGATGGATGAAGCTAATCCCAGAGTTGGACTTGGTATTTTTAACTAATTTCTTAATCTTCTTATTCTTTCAAAGTGTTGTGGTGAAGCCAGCATTTTGAGAAGGATCCAGACCTGAAATGTCAGCTTTCCTGCTCCTTTGATGCTGCTTGGCCTGCCGTGTTCATCCAGCTCTACACCTTGTTATCTCTTGTTGCAATAGCAGTTCCCCTGAACGTTTATAACATTTCCTACAGTCCAGGCACTTAAAGGTCTCTCCTCAGTGTGAACTTGCTGGTGTGTCAGCTGGTGGGATAACTGAGAGAATCCCTTTCCACACACAGAGCAGGTGAACAGCTTCTCTCCAGTGTGAGTGCATTCATGCATCAGAAGGTCAGATGATCGAATGAATCCCTGGTCATTGAATCCTCCAAAGGAGAGAGGTTTCTTTCTGACTACCTTATCTCTGCCCCTCATATTTCTGTACATCCCAATCACATCCATCCTCAATCTCCTCTGCTCTATGGAAGATAAGCCCGTCCAATCACTCTTCCTAAGTGAAATTCCTCGTAACTGGCAATATCCTGGTAAATCTCATATAAGCTATGAACATTTTACAACAGTGACTTTATAGAGTGAAGAATGGCAGCCAATATTTACACAGCAAGATCCCAAGAAAAGCAACAAGATCTTGAGCAATTCATCTGCTTTAATAATACTGGATGAAGGATGAATATTGCTAAGATTCCAGGGGAAAATTGAAATGAAAAAGAAATACTTGGTATGCTGGAAATCCAAAGTAGAAACCTAGAAATATTCAATAGGTCTGGTATCTTCAGAACAAGTGAACTCCCTGCTCTCATTAGTGTTGATGATGGTGTTGGTGCTGGTGCTGGTGTTGCTCTTGTTGTTGGACCTGGTGTTGGACATGGTTTTGGAGCTGGCAGTGGACATGGTGTTGGAGCTGGCGTTGGACATAGTGTTGGTGCTTGTGCTTGTATTGTAGTTGGTGCTGATGCTGGTGCTGGTCTTGGCTCTTATGTTGTTGATAGTGCTAGTGTTGTTGTTGGTGCTAACATTGGTGTTGGTGCTTGTGTTGTGGTTGGTGCTGGTGTTGGTGTGGTCCTGGCTCTTGTGTTGGTGATGATGCTGGTGCTATTGTTGGCACTGGCCTTGTACGTTGGTGCTGATGTTGGTCCTGGCTCTTAAATAGAATCATAGAATCAAAGAAACATAGAAACATAGAAAATACATGCAGGAGCAGGCCATTCAGCCCTTAGAGCCTGCACCACCATTCAATACAATCATGCCTGGTAATGCAATTTCTGTATCCCATTCCCGCTTTCTCTCCATATCCCTTGATCCCTTTAGCCACAAGGGCCATGTCCAGCTCCCTTTTGAATCTAATGAACTGCCCCCAACAGCTTTCTGTGGTAGGGAATTCCACAGGTTTCACAACTCTGAGAGAAGAATGCTTACCTTTTATTCTTAGGCTGTGATTCCTAGTTCTGGACTTCCCCAACATCAGGAACATTCTTCCTGCATCTAGCCTGTCCAGTCCCGTCAGGATTTTATATGTTTCTATCAGATCCCCCCTCATTCTTCTAAATTGCAGTGAGTAAAAGCCCAGTCTTTCTTCATAAGTAAGACCTGAAATCTCAGGGATCAGTCTAGTGAATCTTCACTGTACTCCCTCAGTAACAAGAATGTCCTTCCTCAGACTAGGAAACCAAAACTGCACACAATGCTGAAAGTGTGGCATCACCAAGGCCCTGTATAACTGCAGCAAGACATCCCTCCTCCTATACTCAAATCCTCTCGCAATGAAGGTCAGCATGCCATTAGTTTTCCTCACCGCCTGCTGCACCTGCATGTCAGCCTTCAGAGACTGTTCTACCACGATATCCAGGCCTTGTTGCAACTCAACTTTTCCTAAACTGCCACCATTCAGATAATAATCTGCCTTCCTATTTTTTTGCCACCGAAGTGGACAACCTCACATTTATCCACATTACGTTGTATTTGCCAAGTATTTGCCCACTCAGGCAATCTGTCCAAGTCACCTTGCAGCCTGTTGGCATCCCCCCCACAGGACACACTGCCACCCAGCTTAGTGTCAGCTGAAAATTTGGAGATATTGCATTCAATTCCTTCATCCAAATCATTAATATACATTGTCAACGGCTGGGGTTCCAGCATTGAACCCTGCGGTATCCCACTCATCACTGCCTGCCTCTCTGAAAAGGACCCTTTTATTTTAACTCACCATTTCCTGTCTGCCAACAATTTCTCTATCTATGTCAAGACATTACCTCTGATACCATGTGCTTTAATTTTACTTACCAATCTCTTGCGTGCAGCCTTGTCAAAAGCCTTTCGAAAGTCCAGATACGCAACATCCACTGATTCACCCTTGTCCACTCTACTGATCATATCCTCAAAAAATTCTAGAAAATTTGTCAAGCATGATTTCCCTTTCATGTATCCATGCGGACTTGGACTGATCTTGTCACTGCTTTCCAGAAGTTCAGTTATCACATCCTTAATAATTGACTCCAGCAATTTCCCCATCAGGGATGTTAGGCTAACTAGCCCATAATTCCCAGATTTCTCGCTCCCTCCTTTTTTAAAAAATGGAGTTACATTAGCTACCCTCCAGTCCATTGGAACTCTTCCAGAGTTTACAGAATGCTGGAAAATGATCACCAATGCATCCACCATTTCTAGACCCACTTCCTTAAGTACTCTGGGATGTAGAGCATCAGGCCCTCGAGACTTTTTGGGTTTTAATCCTGTCAATTTCCCCAATATCAATACCTGATTAATAAGGTTTCCCTTCTTCCGGCTCGATCCTCTATCACCTAGCATTTCCTGAATATTATTTGTGTTCTCCTTAGTGAAGACAGATCCAAAGTATCTGTTCGACTGATCTGTCATTTCTTTTTGACCATTATGTAAGGGACCTACATTTGTCTTCACCAGTCTTTTTCTCTTCAAATATCTGTAGAAACTTTAGCATTCAGTTTTTACGTGTCCCTAAAGTTTACTCCTGTATTCTTTTTTCCCCTTCCAAATTAAACTCTTTGTCCTCTTCTGCTGAATTTTAAATTTCTCCCAGTCCTCAGGTTTGCTGTTTTTTTTCTGGCCAATATATATGTCGCCTTTTTGACTTTAACACTATCCCTGATTTCCCTTGTTAGCCATTGTTGAGCCAACTTCCCTGTTTCACACTTACGCCAAACAGGGATGTACAATTGTTAAAGTTCATCCATGTGTTCTTTAAATGTCTGCCATTGCCTATCCACAATCAACTCCTTAAGTATCCTTGGCCAGTTTATCCTAGCCAATGCATCAAAGTTAGCTTTCTTTAAGTTCAGGTACTTTCAGGACCCTGCTCTCAGATTTAACTGTGTCACTCTGCGTCCTAATGAAGACTTCTACCATATTATGGTCATTCTTCCCCAAAGGATCTCATTCCACAAGGTTGCTCATTAATCCTCTTTCATTACACAACACCCAGTCTAGGATGGCCTGCTCTCTAGTTCATTTCTTGACATATTGCATGGGAAAACCATCCTTCAGACTTTCCAGGAAATCCAACACCATTGCATTGCTACCAATTTTGCTGGTCTAATCAATATGCAGATTAAAGTCACCCATAAGAATTGCTGTACCTTTACTGCACGCATCTCTAATTTCCTATTAAATGCCATCCCCAACTTTGCAACTGCTGTTTGGTCATCTGTACACAACTCCCACTAGTGTTTATTTTCCCTTTGGTATTCTGAAGTTCTGCCAATACAGATTCCACATCGTCCAGGTCAATGTCCTTACTTACTATTGTGTTAATCTCCTCCTTAACCAGGATTGTGACCCCACCTCTCTTTCCTTTCTAGCTATCTTTCCTGAAAATTGAATGTCCCCAGATGTTAAGTTCCCATCCTTGGTCACCCTCTAGCCAGGTCCACATGATCCCAGTTGTATCATATCCATTAATAACTGTCTGTGCAGTTAATTAATTCACCTTATTACAAATGCTCCTCTCATAGAGACACAGAGCCTTCAGGCTTGATTTTTTTTTGACATTTATTGCCCTTTTAGAATTATGATGTAATGTGGCCATTTCTGATTTTTGTCTTTGGATTCTCTGCCTTCCACTTTCACATTTCAGCCTACTGCCTTTTGTTTCTGTCCCCACTTTACATCCCTCTGACTTCTTGCATTGGTTCCCCACCCCCTGTCAAGTTAATTTAAACCCTCCCTCGATTGTTGGTCATTGATCCTAATCCAGGTTTCATCCTAAGACTGCGAAGGCACCACTCATACTGAAGTGATTGCAAATCTCACAGTATAAAACTATTATGAACAAAACCTTTCCTATGATATATTTGCTGATATATTTGCATCATCATTAGCCATGGATGAGGTCCCGGAAGACTGGAGGGTGGTGAATGATATGCCCTTATTCAAGAAGGTCTGCAAAGAAAAACTAGGAATTATAGACAAGCAAGCTTAATATCTGTGGTAGGTAAGTTACTTGGGAAGATTCTGAGGGATAAGATGTACATGCATTTAGAAAGACAGGGGTTGATTAGGAGTAGTCAGTATGGCTTCGTGCGTGGGAGATCATACCTCACAATTTTTTTAGAATTCTATGATAAAGTGACCAGGAACGTTGATGAGGGCAGGGTGGTAGATGCAGGTTACATGGATTTCAGTAAGGCCTTTGATAAGGTTCCACATGGTAGGCTGCTCTGGAAGGTTAGATAGCATGGAATACAGGGAGAGTTGGCAAATTGGATGCACAATTGGCTCGATACTAGGAAGCAGAAAGTAATAGTGGAAGGATGCTTGTTGGACTGGAGGCCTATGACTAGTGGAGTGCCTCAGGGGTTGGTGCTGGGCCCATTGTTGTTTGTTATCTGTATCAATGATTTGGATGAGAGTGTACAAGGCATGATTAGTAAGTTTGCGGGTGACACTAAAATAGGCGGTATCATGGACAGTGAGGAAGGTTATTAGAAATTGCAGTAGGATCTTGATCAGCTGAGGAAGTGGGCTGAGAAATGGCAAACAGAATTTAATATAAATAAGTGTGAGGCATTGCATTTTGGAAAGTCAAATCAAGGTAGGAGTTTCATGGTGAATGGTAGGGCCTTAAGGAGTGTAGTGGAACAGAGGGACCTTGGAGTTCAGGTGCACGATTCGCTGAAAGTGAAGTCACAGGTAGACAGGGCAGTGAAGAAGGCTTTTGGCTCACTGGCTTTCATCAGTCAGGGCACCGAGTACAGAAGTTGGGAAGTTATGTTGCAGTTGTACAGGATGTTGGTGAGGCCGCACTTGGAGTATCGTGTTCAGTTATGGTCATCTTGCTATAGGAAAGAGTGCAGAAGAAATTTACAAGGATGTTGCCAGGACTCAAGGGACTGAGTTATAGGGAGAGGTTGGATAAGCTAGGACTATTTTTCTTTACAGCATAGGAGACTGAGGGGGTATCTTATAGAAGTGTATAAGATCATGAGAGGCATGGATAGGGTGAATGTACACAGTCTTTTTCCCAGGGTTGGGGAATTGAGGACTAGAGGGCATCAGTTTAAGCTAAGAGGGGAAAGAATACATGAGAACCTGAGGGGCAACATTTTTACACAGAGGGTGGTGCACATATGGAATGAGCTACCAGAGGAAGTGGTTGAGGTTGGTACATTAACAACATTGTAAAAGGCATTTGGATGAATACATCAATAGGAAAGGTTTAGAAGGATACGGGCCAAGTGCAGGGAAATGGGATCAGCGTGGATGGACATTTTTGTCAGCATGGACCTGTTTGGGCTGAAGGGCCTTTCACTATGCTCTAGGACTCTATGATTTAGCAAGAAAATAGTTGTGAGGACTTAGCATTTATTGCAGGATTTCTGGGAATTTGATTCACTCATTTGGCAATGGTTTCTTCTCATGTCCTCACTGGTGTATTTCAAGAATCCCATGAAACTAATGAATATGACAGTAAATTTAAAATTGTATTTCTAAACTGCTTGAATTAAATAAGAATGGCAACAGGTTGGAGTCAACTTCCTGGCTTTTTCTCATATTTGCCAACTTTAACCTGTCACGTCCTCCCAATGTCAAGAGCTCATCCAGATTAAAATTCCACAAATGGTTCTGTCAACTCAGTTTATAATTAATACAGAAAAGTAGGATCAGAGACAAGAAATAATTTCCAAACAGATACCAGAAGTAATTTTGTCAATTGGGAGACAATAATTAGAAAGCGTTAAACTAAGGCCAAATACTATAAAAGCACAGTTTAGGACCAATAAAATAAACCTTGAATAACAATTTCATAAAGTCACTCCTGTTACATGCTTAGTTGATATAAAAATTATCTAGGCCTCTCTACTTCATGATAGTTTGAGCAGATAAAGGCCTCAACCTTGTTGAGACACACTGCATTTCGCTTGAATTGCACCACTTACCCAGTGTCTGCAATGGTCAATCCCGCTCATTTAATTCAATAATAGAAGCCAGAGTCTGCCTGTCATAATGTCCAGTGATGGTTTTTTCTACAGTAACTAACTTAAGTCTCATGTCGTCCCCAGTGTGAGTAGGAAAGAGGAAGCTGAGTGAGTTTGACAATCTTACCACTGCTATTAAACCACATCCTGTGTATGCATCAGCTTCAAGCTAATGTACAGCACATATTTTTCTCAATTCTGTTCAGAAATTAATGCTTTGACATTTATTGATTTGCAGAAGAAATTGCCTGTCTATGAAGACATGAGTTATAAGCTGTGTCCTCCATGAAAACATATTAAGTAATAAAATATTTCCCGTCATTGTCAGTATTCGGTGTTTTGACATCTTCCACTTGTTAATATTTTAGTTTCAGTTACTCAGCTAAGCTGCTTTTCCTGTCAGACTGTTTCATTAACGCTTCGTCATGAAATCTACAGGAAACATCGTTCCGTCAGCAAGCATTGGTTGTTGGTGTTTTTCATATTTTAAGTGACACAGACTCAACCCACTCTTTCTACACTCTTTCACAATACCCTAGTATTCGATTTTCACTGTCCTGCTGACACCTGTCCCATCCTGTTCAATGTTCTATCTGTTAGATTCCAAAATTCCCTTCATTCTCCACACAATTTAGTTATCCACCCAGTCTTATTGCATTGACTCCTAATACTCCTTTATGACCCTCTCCTGATCACTTCCCATAATATTAATATAATCACAGGCAATTTCATTCCACTTACATGATCAGTGCACATGCAAATTAATCTCCCAATCTTCCCAGTCCTACTTCTGGATGAGATTTCTTGGGTTAAAATTACCAGTATGATTTGGTCAGAGTGCTTCCCTATTTTTTGTTCATTCATGGAGTATGGGTGTCACTGATATTTTTGTTTATTTATCTCTGGGACATAGATATCAGTGGCTGGCTAGCCAGCAGTTATTGCCCCTACTTGGCCTTGAGAAGGTGGTGGTGAACTACTTTCTTGAACCACTGCAGTCCATGTGTTGTAGGTTGACCCACAATGCCCTTAGAGAGAGAATTCCAGAATTTTGACCCAGTGACAGTGAAGGAACAGTGATAGGTTTCCAAGTCAATGTGGTGAATGGCTTGGAGGTGAACTTGTATGTGGTGGTGTTCCCATGTAGCTGCTGCCCTTGTATCTGCTGTCCTTCCAAGATGGAAGTGGCCATGTGCTTGAAAGGTGCTGCCTAAGCATCTTTGGTGCATTTTTCTATGCATCTTGTAGATAGTAGACACTGCTGCTACTGAGCTTAGGTAATGGTGGAAAAAGTCGATGTAGTGCCAATCAAGTAGGCTGGTTTCCAGGCAGCATACTCCAAATTGTAAGAACTCTGAGTAAAGAAGCTTCTCTTCATCTCATACCTAGCTCTCTTGCTGACAATCTTGAAATTGTGACTCCTAGTTACTGACATACCAACGAGTGGAAACAAGATATCCTTCTTCACCCTGTCAACGTTGTTCATAATTTTGAATACTTCTTCATTTTCTCTGTTCCAAGGAGAATAATTTCAATGCCTCTAATTTTCCTTGTATTTAAAATCTCTCATTCATGGTATCACAGATCATAGAATCCCTACAGTGTGGAAACAGGCCCTTCAGCCCAAACCAAACCTTACAGCATCCCACCCAGACCCATTCCCCATTAAACTCACTGAATCTACACATCCCTGAACACTATGGCAATTAAGCATGGCCATTCCACCTAGCCTGCACATCTTTGGACTGTGGGAGGAAACCACAGCACCTGGAGGAAACCCACGCAGACATGGGGAGAATGTGCAAACTCCATATAGACAGTTGCCTGAGGGTGGAATTAAACCCAGGTCCCTGGCGCTGTGAGGCAGCAGTGCTAACCACTGTGCCACTGTGCCACCATGCCACCCACTCCAGTAAATCTTTGAACTCTCTCCAGCGCTCTTTTTAGAGTCAGAAGGATGACTGCCTTATTTACAGGAATTTTGGTATCAGCTCTCATCCTTAGGCAGCAGTAGGTGACAATTGTGGATTGGATCTAGTGTTGGATCACCACAGCAATGTCAGCCTTAGATGAGAAGTCGTTCCCCAGGTAGAGGAAATGCTCTATGTTTTGGAATACTTCTCCAAAGAATGTAATGGAGGGCTAGATTGAATATGCTAGCACAGGTTACAAAGGACTTGAGGGTTCTTGATGTTGAGGCCAAGGCTAATTCTTTGATATGCTTCTGTGAAATCATTAAGCAAGCCTTGAAGATACTCTTCCGAGGGAGCAGAGACAACGTTGTCATTCACATACTGAGGTTCCATGAGCAATGTCAGTCATTTTCTTCTTGGATTTCAATCAGTTGAGGTCAAAAAGTTTTCTGCCAATTCTATAGACAATGCCCAAACAACTGGGAAGCTTGTCCTTAACAAGACAAAGAATGGTGGTGATGTAGATGAAGAAAATTATGGAGCTGATGCCACATCCCTGCTTGACCCATATCCTGATCTCAAAGATTTTGTTATATTGCCATTAATAAGAACTGTCACTCGATTGACTGAGTCAAAAGCTTGGTCAGATCAATGAAGGCAAAGTGGCAGACTGATTAACAAGGTTAGATCACATGGAATACAGGCAGAACTAGCCATTTGGATACAAAATTGGCGAGGGATTGGAGAAACAAAGTCATGGTCAAAGGTTGCTTTTCGGACTGGAGGCCTTGACCAACAGAGTGCCGCACGGATTGGTGATGGGCCCAATCCTTTTTGTCATTTATGTAAATGATTTGGATGTGAATACAGGAAATATGGTTAGTAAGTTTGCAGATGACACCAAAATTGGTGATGTAGTGGGCAGTGAAGAAGATTACCTCATAGAACAATGTGACCTTGATCAGATGGGCAAATGGTCCAAGGAGTAGCAGATGGAGTTTAATCTAGACAAATGTGAGGTGCTACATTTTAGAAAAGGAAATCAGGGCAGGACTTATACAGTTAATGGTAAGGCCTTGGGGAGTGTTGCTGAACAAAGAGACTTTGGAGTAAAGGTTCATAGTTCCTTGAAAATGTAGTCGCAGGTAGACAGGGTGGTTTGGTATGCTTGTCTTTATTGGTCAGTGTGTTGAGTATAGGAGTTGGGAGATCATGTTGCGACTGTACAGGACATTGGTTAGGCCACTTTTGGAATACTGCGTTCAGTTTTGGTCTCCTTGCTGTAGGGAATATGTTGTGAAACTTGAAAGGGTTCAGAAAAGATTTACAAGAATGTTACAGAGAGAGGCTGAATAAACTGGGCCAATTTCCACTAGAACTTTGGAGAATGAGGGGTGGCTTTATAGAGGTTTATAAAAATTATGACAGGCATGGATAGGGTAAATAGGCATGGTCTTTTCCTCAGGGTAGGGAAGTCCAAAACTAGAGGGCATAGGTTTAAGGTGAGGGTGGAAAGATTTAAAAGGGACCTGAGGAATTTTCTTTTACACAGAGGGTAGTGTGTGGATGGAATGAACTGCCAGAGGAACTGGTGGAGGCTGGTACAATTGCAACATATAAAAGGCATCTGGATGGGTGTATGAATAGGATGGATTTAGAGGATTATCAGCCAAATGCTGGCAAATGGGACTGGATTAATTTGGGATGTCTGGTCTGTATGGACAAGATGGACTAAAGTGTTTGTTTCTGTGCTGTACATCTCTATGACTCTAACTCCTAAATTGTGAAGATGATCTTGGGCTACCACCAGGTGTGGCAGAATTCAAAGCCAGCCTTTAACCCATGAAGAATTGAAAAGCTGCAAATCTAGACGGGTTCTGGAGTAGATTTTCAAACTTGGAGGATTAGAGTTTATCCGTCATCTCCATCAATTGTTCCTGAAAATTTGGGACAAGAAGAATTACTTGCTGATCTTAAGGATACCGCCATCAACACCGTCTCCTAGAAAGAATTCAAAGTAGACTTTGGGAACTACAAAAGAATCTCTACTACTAATGAGACTACTAATTGATTGATTTATTTGTTGTCATGTGCACCGAAATGCAGTGAAAAGTTTTGTTTACAAGCGATACAGGCAGATCACAACAAGCAAAGGATGTACAGATCAAAAGACTTAGAGGCATACAGGTTACATTGCAGGTTACATTATTTGAGGCTAGAATCCATTCAATAGTCTGATAACAGCCGGAAAGAAGCTGTTCTTGAACCTGCTTACGCGTGTGTTCAGGCTTCTATATGTTCTGCCTGACGGAAAAGGTTGGTGGAGGTTACTACCAGGATGCGATGGAACTTTCACAATGTTGGCTGCCTTTCTGTGGCAGTAAGTCATGTAAATAGAGTCCATGGATGGAAGGTTGGCTTCCGTGATAGTCTGTGCACACCACCTTCTGTAGTTTCTTACAGTCCTGGGCAGAGCAGTTGCCATTCCAGGCCGTTATGCACCTGGACAGTATGCTTCCAATGGTGCATTTGCAGAAGTTGGTGAGGGACCTTATGGACACAGCGAATTTACTGAGCTGCCTGAGGAGGAAGAGGTGTTGTTGTGCCTTCTTGACTGTCACATTTACGTGGGACGTCCAGGACAGCTAGTCAGTTATTGTCACTCTGAGGAACTTGATGCTCTTCACTCTCTCAACCTCAGTTCCGTTGATACAGATGGGAGCGTGTTCTCCTCCTTTCTTTCTGAAGTCAATGATCAGTTCTTTAATTTTGCCGATGTTGAGAGACAGATTATTTTCATTGCACCATGTCACCAAGTCTTCTAGCTCCTTCTATAATTTGACTCATCATTGTTAGATATCCGTCCCACTACAGTAATGTCATCAGCAAACTTGTAGATCGCATTTGTTTGGAATTTGGCAACACAATCGTGGGTGTACAGGGAGTACAGTTAGGGGGCTGAGGACACACCCTTGGGAGCTCCAGTTTTGCGTGATATTGTGGAGGAGGTACAGTTACATATCCTCACCGATTGCGGCCTTTGGGTCAGGAAGCTGAGGAACGAGTTGCAGAGGACAGAGCCGAGAGCAAGGTCACTCAGTTTTGAGATCAGTCTGGAGGTGACATTGGCTACAGCTCTCCCTTCAACACCAATGAGCAGGAGTCTGAAGCA